TTTTTATTGCAGGCAATTCCCCAAGAGGTTTTTGCTTTTTTTCCTGTTGGCTTCAGGGTTTTCCCAAAGCGGTGTGAGGGGGACACATTGGAGGCTGGATAGCCTGGGGGAGGCTGGGGAAAAGGCTGGGGGGGGTTTTTTGGGATGTAAAAACTATATACCAAGGCCCAGTGGACGTTCCCTTGGTTTGGGTTAGTTGGGTTGTGTTTTGTTTTTTTTTACTAAAGGGTTGGGTTGGTTTGCGGGGTTTTGGTTTTGTTTTTTTTTTAGGTAAGGGTCAGTTTTTTTTTGTTTTTGGTTGGGGGTATTTTTGTGTTGTGCCATGCTGGGCTGGGGGTTTTTTTGAGTTTTCCTCGCCCCTGTTTTTTTGTTAGCATGTTAGCAAGGTGGGTTTTTGGGGATGCATTGAACCTTTTTTGCCCCCCCCCCCATAACCTCCTTCCCTTCGCGTCGCGTGCCCCCCCCCCTCCCCCCTCCACAGATGAGCTTTACCAGTACCTGCTCTCGCCGGACGCACAGGTTACCTGGGACATGGGCAGCACCCAGCAGTCGACCAGGACACTCCGGCACAACCTTTCTCGAAGGCGAGTGCAGTCAAGGAAGCTCAATAGAGGGGACTTCTAGACTGCCGCACCCTGATTATTTTATTATAGGTGTCTGCTTGTTTTTCCCTTGTTGTTTTCGTTGTGTTGAGTTGAAGATGGACAAAGGTTGAGATCGACTGTGTGTTGCTGTTAAACAGGTTGCGACACTCCAATTGGTTGCCATGGGTGGTGTGTAACATAGGGGTTTTGTTTTGTTTTTTTTTCGTTGCGAGGGGCGGGGACTGTTCTACGGAACGGCTCTCGGGCCTCTTGTCAGCTCTCGTGTGATGTTATTTAATGATCTATGAACACGCTCCTCCCCACTTTTTTCTTGTCACCGGTCGGGTGGCTAGTTAGCAGGCAGAGCGATCGTTGAGCCAACATGACAACAACGACAACAACAATTCAACAAATGGTACTCCTCCCCTGCGTCCCCCCCCCGCTGCCTGTGCAGAGTGCGGGCCTACCTTTGCTCGCACGAAGGAATCAGTGACCAACAAGGGGGCGGCGCGGGCACTGATGGCGGCGGCGATGGCGGTGATGGTGCTGGCAAGAAGGGCGACGGCCTGTTCGTGGCGTGGCTCGCCGATTCGCCCAGGCAGGCGGGCGGCGGGGGCGAGCGCGGGACGAAAAAAGCGGCGGCCCAAGCGGCGGCGCAAGAAGAACGGGAGCGCAAGGTGAAGTTGTGTGTTTGTGTGTGTGTGTGTGCTTGGCGGTCTGGTAGGAGGTTTTGGTTTTGTTGTGGGCGTGGCTCCTTGGAGGGAGGAGGCCATGCGGCGACTCACGTGCCACCGTGCTTACGTGATTTCAGTCAAGAATTCGAAAGCCTTGTTGCTGCTCCTGGTGCTGCTCCTGGTGCTGCTGTTGTTACTTGTGTTGACGTTGTCGTGGTGTCTCGTCTTGACGTTAAAAGCCGTGTTGCACCTTCCTATAAAGGAGAACCTCCTTCTCCGTTCTTGAAGAGACGAAGAAACGAAAGGTGTCGTGTAACGAACGTTTCGTAAAAAACATGCCGACGATAAACTCAAATAGAAAAAAAATGCCGTAATGTTCATATTTGGAATGCCGAGCAGCTTGCCGGCAATTGCTGAGCAGCCCCGTAGGTGCAAACGTTTACCACTGCATAGACAAATGTGGCACCATGAATAGTATGTCTAACCTCTTGTTGGCGGTACAAAACGTCACCTCACCATAACCCCCCTGTGCTATGCATAAGACGTTGCATTTCAACATAACTGAACTGAAGTCTTGGAGTTTGCGTGTTTGCATGATTGAACTGAGGTCGCGGAACGATCTGACGACGCATGTTAACCTGTGCCCCCGCCGCGGCGTGAAAAAATCAAATCAAGATGGAGGGTCTGTTCCTTCTTGCGGAGCCCCCGCCACCGACACGCGCTCGAACGAGACGCGCACCACGGCCGTCGGGAGCGAGGGAGGAGGCCGGAGGTCGGCGCGCGAAGAGCGACCAGAAGAGCAACAAGGACAGCGGCGGTGGCGAGTCGATGGAAGTCGATGACGACGAAGGTACAGCCGTCGCCGCAGCCGCAGCCGCCGCTGCAGCCATAGCGGCGGCGGCTGCTGCTGCTGCAGCTGCAGCTGCCGGTGGGGCTTCCTCTGGCAGGAGCAGGAGCAGGAGCAGCAGCCGCAGTCCCATGAACGTGGACGAGGGCGTCGGTGGAGTTGGGAGACGGTCTGGAGGGGGAGGGACTGGTGCCCGAAGGGGATCGCTGTCCGACGAGGTGAGGGCTTTGGCTACGTAGCTTTGCGGAGCTTCTAAGCGCGGGGCTTGCTTGATGGCGAGGTGTCATGCGTGCCGTAGTCCTTGGCGAGGTGTCTTTCGCCTGTGTTGTTTGCTTTCGTTTGCTGCTACTGCATGCTGATTGCCGTGTATTGTGCTGTTGCTCCTGTGTGCTGTCATCGTGGCGTCGTTTTTTTTTCTAGGCACTCCTGAACTGCAACTGGCGTCGTGAAGACGGTGTTGTGTGCAAGCGAAGTTTGTTGATGGGAGCTGTCCATGTCTTTTTGTTCCCACAGGTCCTCTGTTCAACCCCCCCCCCCCCCCCCCAAAACCAAAAACACCACCACCCCCCCCCCCCCCCCAACCCCCCACCCCCCCCCCAAACCAAAAAAAACCCCCCCCCAAACCCCCCAAACCCCAACCCCCAAAAAAAAACCCCCCCCCCCCCCCAAAACCCCAAAAAAAAAAAA